AATCAGTCTCTGGAGCATTCAGGGCTCAGAAGTTTTAAAGATAATTTAGTAGGTAGGGGCACAGGAAGTGGGGAGTGCTGATTGGTCAAGTCGGAGATGGAATCACAGGGGTGTCAAAGTGAGGTTTTCTTTTTTTTTTCTTTAAAGTCAGAGTCTCGCTCTGTTGCCAGGTGCCAGGCTGGAGTGCAGTGGCGCGATCTCGGCTCACCGCAGCCTCCGCCTCCCGGGTTCAAGCAATTCTCCTGCCTCAGCCTCCTGAGTAGCTGGGATTACAGGCACGCGCCACCATGCCCAGCTGATTTTTGTATTTTTAGTAGAGACGGGGTTTCACCGTGTTGGCCAGGATGGTCTCGATTTCTCGACCTCGTGATCCACCCGCCTCGGCCTCCCAAAGTGCTGGGATTACAGGCGTGAGCCACCGCGCCCAGCCTAAGTGTGGTTTTCTTGCTGTCTTCTGTAGCTGGCTGGGATGGCAGAACTGATTGAGCCAGATTACTGGTCTGGGTGATGTCAGCTGATCCATGGAATGCAGGGTCTGCAAAATATCTCAAACACTGATCTTAGGTTTTACAATAGTGATGTTAACCCCAGGAGCAATTTGGGGAGGTTCAGAGTCTTGCAGCCAAAGGCTGCATGACCCTCCTAAACTGTAATTCTAATTCATAGCTAATTTGTTAGTCCTACAAAGGCAGACTGGTCTCCAGGCAAGAAGGGGGTCTTGTGGGAAAAGGTTATTATCAATTTTGTTTCAGAGTCAAATCATAAACTAAATTCCTTCCCAAGGTCAGTTCGGCCTATGCCCAGGAATGGACAAGGACAGTTTAAAGGTTAGAAGCAAGATGGAGTCAGTTAGGTTTCATCTCTTTCACTGTCATAATTTCCTCAGTTGTAATTTTTGCAAAGGCAGTTTCAAATGATTGGTGCCTTTTGAGCCTTTATTTAGCAGCCACTGTAGGTCCTGAAGCCATAGGCAGAGAACAAGAACAGGAGCTGGGCCAGGCTTCCCAGAAATTCTGCTGGTGTGAGGGGGCTTCTGGGCCTGACCTTGACCTGTAGGATTCTTACCCCGCCCCAACCTCTAGCTGCCCTGTTTTATTTTTCTCCACAGCACTCATCATTTAACACCATGTGACACTTATTTTATTCAATCAGTCAATTGGTCTATCTGGAGCTTAATTGAGTTACTCAGGATACATCCATGAATAAAAGGGAGACTCTCACTTCACAGACCTTTCTTTCTTTTTTTTTTTTTTTGAGACGGAGTTTCGCTCTTGTTACCCAGGCTGGAGGGCAATGGCACGATCTCGGCTCACCGCAGCCTCCGCCTCCTGGGTTCAGGCAATTCTCCTGCCTCAGCCTCCTGAGTAGCTGGGATTACAGGCACGAGCCACCATGCCCAGCTAATTTGTTGTATTTTTAGTAGAGACGGGTGTTTCACCATGTTGACCAGGATGGTCTCGATCTCTTGACCTCGTGATCCACCCGCCTCGGCCTCCCAAAGTGCTGGGATTACAGGCTTGAGCCACCGCGCCCGGCCGGAGTTTCACTCTTGTTACCCAGGCTGGAGTGCAATGGCGCGATCTCGGCTCACTGCAACCTCCGCCTCCTGGGTTCAGACAATTCTCCTGCCTCAGCCTCCTGAGTAGCTGGGATTACAGGCACGCGCCACCGTGCCCAGCTAATGTTTTTTATTTTTAGTAGAGATGGGGTTTCACCTTGTTGACCAGGATGGTCTCGATCTCTCGACCTCGTGATCCACCCGCCTCGGCCTCCCAAAGTGCTGGGATTACAGGCTTGAGCCACCGCGCCCAGCCCAGACCTCTCTTTCTTGTGGGAGAAGCCAGACAATGCCATATAAGGATAATAAGCGTTTACTTTAAAAAGTGCAAAAAGCCAAATGCAATGGCTCACACCTGTAATCCCAGAAGTTTAGGAGGTGAAGCAGGACTGCCTGAGCTCAGAAGTTTGAGATCAGCCTGGGCAACATAGCAAGGCCTTGTCTCTACTAATAATTTTAAAAAGTTGAGGACCAGGCATGGTGGCTCTTGACTGTAGTCCCAGCACTTTGGGAAGCTGAGGTGGGCAGATCACTGGAGGTCAGGAGTTTGAGACCAGCCTGGTCAACATGCTGAAGAAACCTCGTCTCTACTAAAAATACAACAATTAGCCGGTTGTGGTAGTGTGTGCCTATAATCCCAGCTACTTGGGAGGCTGAGGCAGGAGAATCGCTTGAACCTGAGAGGTGGGGGTTGCAGTGATCTGAGATCACGCCACTGCACTCCAGCCTGGGGGACAAAGTAAAACTGTATCTCAAAAAAATTAAAAAATCACCAGGCTAAAAAAAAAAAAAAATCACCAGGCATGTGGTCATGTGCACCTGTAGTTCTAGCTACTTAGGAGTCTGGGACTTTGAGGTTGCAGTGAGCTATGATCGTGCACTTTTGCCTGGGTGACAGGGCAAGACTCTGTCTCGAAAAAAAAAAAAAAAAGTGTATGAGAAGGTGGTAGCTGCTATGAAGCAGCTGGGTGTGGTGCCTCATGCCTGTTATCCCAGCGCTTTGGGAGGCTGAGGTGGGTGGATCAATTGAGGTCTGGAGTTCAAGACCAGCCTAGCCTGGCCAACATGGTTAAAAACCCATCTCTTGGCTGGGCGCGGTGGCTCAAGCCTGTAATCCCAGCACTTTGGGAGGCCGAGGCGGGTGGATCACGAGGTCGAGAGATTGAGACCATCCTGGTCAACATGGTGAAACCCCGTCTCTACTAAAAATACAAAAAACTAGCTGGGCGTGGTGGCGCGTGCCTGTAATCCCAGCTACTTAGGAGGCTGAGGCAGGAGAATTGCTTGAGCCCAGGAGGCAGAGGTTGCAGTGAGCCGAGATTGCGCCATTGCACTCCAGCCTGGGTAACAAGAGCGAAACTCCATCTCAAAAACAAAACAAAACAAAACAAAACAAAACAAAACAAAACCCCAATTCTTCTGAAAAACAGAAAAATTAACCGGTCATGGTGGCACACCTATAATCTCAGCTACTCGGGAGGCTGAGGCTTGAGAATCGCTTGAGCCTTGGAAGTGGAGGTTGCAGTGAGCCAAGATTGTGCCATTGCCTCCAGTTGGGGTGACAGAGCAAGACTCCATCTAAAAAAAAAAAAGTCTGAGAATGTGGTTACTGCTACAGAAAAACACAGAGCCAGGGTAAGGGGATAAAGGTGATCTTGAGTGCTGGGGGCAGAGTGGGGCAGTTTACAGTCTGAAATTAGGGGCTCTGAGAGTGCTGGGGTGCAGCCCTGTGGAAATCTGTGCAATCTAGGCATGGGAACAAGCGTTGCTCATACACTGAGCAGGAGAGTGCATGAGGTGTGATGTGTGAGGAACACTGAGAGACTGAGCTGGCTGGGGAGATACAGTTAGAGGGGTAATCGGGACTCATGAGGGTCCTGCTGCCTCTGGTTTTTCCTTGGGGAGGAGGTACTTCAGGGTTCTGAACAAGGAATGGAAGGATCTGACTCATGTATTCAAAGGCTGATGTGTGCAGAATAGACTGAAGACATCACGGGCAGCAACAGGAGACCAGGAGGCAGGTGTACATTTGCCCTCAGGAGAGATGGTGATAGTTTGGACTCAGCGGAAGTTATGGACATAGCAAGAAGTGATTTCATTCTGGGCAGATGATGCTGATGGGGGCAGATGATGCTGATGGAGGCAGTGGAACTTTTTGGTGCACTGGATATAGCTGGGAAAGAGAGTAGTCAGGAGGTACTTTGAGGTGTTTGGCCTGAGCAATAAGAAGGGTTGGGGTGCTATCATTCAATCTGGGGAAGTGGGGTGAAGTAGGTTTGGGGTATGAGCCAGGGTTAGGGGACACAAGTTGTGTTTGAGATGCCAATGACTGGGAGTCAGAGTGTAGATGTCTGGTTGACAGTAGAACTAGTGAATCTGCCACTCAGGGTGGGTCTGGACTTGACAAACATTTTTAGGAGTGATTGACATGTAGGTGACATTTGAAATCATGAGCCTGGATAAGATTTTGCAAGAGTGAGTATAGACAAAGAGAAAATGCACAGACGAGGAACTGGTGAGACTGGAGGAAACCAGGAAGACATGGAGCCCTGGAGACCACATGCCAAGGTGAGAGCAGCTGCTCATAGGAAGTCTCTCCTGCCCACTGTTAAAAGGTCAGGGATATTTATTTATTTTCCTTTTTTGTTCACTGCTGTATTTCCAGAACAGAGTGTAAGTGCTTAATAAAAATAAACACTTGTTGAATTAAAGAGTGTATGAGTGAATTTACACCTTTGCAAATGCCCAGTACACAGGACTGCAACATTGGCCTCCTTTACAGAAACAGCAGAGATCAGGTAGGAGGCTCTAACCCTCTCCCTTGCCTTTCACAGCTTCGCTGACATTCAGTCAGGTGAGAGCCCTCCTGTCCAACACAGGCCCAAGAAAAATGAGCCTCAGACAATCCCTGTGGTATGGAGCTTGGTGGGAGCGGGGTTGGGCACTGGGTCACCCACCTGTTCCCAGAAAACTCTATGGCCACTTTCTGTCTACCTCTCCATATCTAATAATCTGGCTGTATATATAACCATTTCTTTGTCCACCGTCTACAGTCATTCTTCTGTCCATCTTTCCGTCTGTTCACATCCAATCTTCTGTCCATCTGCTAGAGTGACCAACTTCCCAGTTTGCAGCGGACTGTCTCGGTGTTAGCCCTGAAATTCCTCCATCCTGCGAAATCGCTTAGTACGGTCAAACCAGGACTGTCGGTCAATCCATATATTTCCCAGGTATCCTGCTGTCCATCGGCCCGCGCGGTTCTTCGGTCCACCCAACAGCCCATCTGACCCCTCCTGGCCACCCTCCCGACGGAGGACAAGGCTCCGCCCCCTCTGGCCCCGCCCCCAGTCCCCACCTTTTACGGAAGCTGCTGCCGCGAATCCTGGCACCCTAGCAACAGCGCCTTTCAGGCTGTCCAGTCCGCGTGCGCGGCTCCTAGGACGAGCCAATAGCGAGGAGCATCGGGAGCGAGGTGTGGGGGGCGGGGCTCGGCCTGGCAGCAGCCATTTTGGTGCGAGAGAAACAATAGGACGGAAGCGGCGGGGAACCGAGCCGAGGCAGCAGGTAACGCCCGCGTTTTTGGGACTATGGCCCTAGTTCCCCAGGATCTTTGAGGGAGATTTTTTCTGGGCTGCTGGGAGACGTGGTCTAAGTCTTCTAGGTTATTTGGTAAGGACGTCTCCCGTGGTCATTGTGGGGGAAATCTCCCGGGGTCCCTGCGGATTCGATTTTTCTGGGTCATTTGGGAGGAGCCTTGTTTCTTCCGATCAATGGAGAGAGATTTCCCCGGTTTTGGGGGTGCAGAATCCTGCTCGGTCGTTGGAGGGGTCTCCCGGGTTTTGCGGGGGCAGGATCTTTCCGGGTCATTGAGGAGATCTTCCCGGGTCTTAGGAAGCCCAAGATCTACAGTGTCATTGCGGGGTCTCCCCTGGTCATTGATGGCCACCATCTCCCCGGATATTTGGCGGGGGGAGAGAGGTCTTCTTCCCGTATCTTTGGATTAGGGAGTCAGCCCAGCGCCTCAGGTACTGTTACCTGGGGTCGGCAGATGTGCAGCCATTTTGAGGGTTGAATGCCATTTGGGCCCGTCAGATGGTGTTCGATGAGGGAATCTACACACAACCTTATTATGGAAAAAAAGGCCTTAAAATGGATGAGAGGACACCTTTATAGTGATATTTGCACTCTTTGCATTTAATTATAGACTGCTTTTGTCTTTTGCATCCTAATGGTTTATTTTATTTTAGGATTGTATTCGGTCTCATAACAAGAAAGCCACAGTAGCAGAAAAATGAGTGAAAATAAAATATGGAAACCAGTAAAATCTAGTGCTACTCAATACCAGGGGAAGTAGAACTAGTTACTGCTTCCAATTAAGCATTTCGGTAGCACGTTGTACATAGAACAATAAATCATCTTGAATAGTTTTTTAAAAAAGTACTGAAACTTTGGAACGTGGTAATAAAAATGTTGCAGATCATCAGTTCTGTGATACTTTTAATAAAGGACCATGATTACAATAATTTTGTTTAATTCCAGTGTTTAAACTGTTTGCTGTATTTGCATTTGTAGCCAGGTAACATTTTTAGTGAACTAAGATGCTTATTTGTATAGGTTGTTGCTGTGGGGTTTGTGTAATTGCATCCTGTAACGTGGGTGTTAAGTTTAAGGAGAAGCTTCAGGGTGTAGTTTTAACTTGAGCCACTATCAGAGTTAGAAAGGACCAAATGAATACCTTATCATATGTGACATAATAGGCCAGTTGATGGCCTAGTAACTTTTCTTCTTGAGAAAAAGTTAACTATTAACTATCATTTTTTTCATTTAAAAATTTTTTTATTTTCTGTGGTCTTGTCTGACATTGTCATTTCGATAGATTTACCTGCTTTGTGACTTTAGAATTCACAAGCATTGTTAGAAATCAAATGGAAAATCACTTGAACCCAGGAGTTCAAGATCAACCTGGGCAGCATAGCAACACCCTATCTCTTAAAAAAAAAAAAGAGAGAGGCAGAGAGAGAGAAAGAAATCAAATGGATAAGAACAAGGACTACAATTGATACAATTGTAGAAACCAGGTTTGTTTGTTTTTTTGTTTGGTTTGTTTTTTATGCAGAGCCTGGGTAGGGAAGGAGCAAGGAGGAAGAGGGGAGATCTAGAAACTAGGGTAACAAATGTAATAGACTTTTGTGCTTCATAGCTTCGGAGGTAACAGACAGATACACTGTGTGCCAGCCCTGTATCTGAGCAGTGGGATGTGTGGGGAAGGAAGGAGCAACCACTGACTGATGAACCTTTGCTAGTCTCCCTTCTAAGAGGGATGGCAGAGCCTTCTGTTAGCTCCTGAGATGTCACTGGTATCTAGGCAACAGGGATGAGCCTGAACCTCCCTGAGGCCAGCTTGCTGAGGTGAAAATTTTCCATTGTTTGGCTCGTGAAGAGGATGCATTGGGGAAGAATTTTCCCTTTAACTGAAGTTATTTCCCCTAGTGGGATAATCATCTTAAGTAACAAATTGAACACATTCTTATACATTAGAAAGTAGGCAGATGATTATTCTCAGTTATTACATTTTAAAACATGTTTGGTTTTTTTTTTTTTTTTTAATAAATTATGTTTTTGTCTGTTTGTGTACCGTGTAATAAAAGTAATAAGAAGTAGTACTGTTTTTTTTTTTTTTTTGAGACGGAGTTTCGCTCTTGTTACCCAGGCTGGAGTGCAATGGCACGATCTCGGCTCACCGCAACCTCCGCCTCCTGGGTTCAGGCAATTCTCCTGCCTCAGCCTCCTGAGTAGCTGGGATTATAGGCACGCGCCACCATGCCCAGCTAATTTTTTGTATTTTTAGTAGAGACGGGGTTTCACCATGTTGACCAGGATGGTCTCGATCTCTTGACCTCGTGATCCACCCGTCTCAGCCTCCCAAAGTGCTGGGGTTACAGGCTTGAGCCACCGCGCCCGGCAGAAGTAGTACTGTTTTACAGTATATTCTGATGGCAAGAAAATGTCCTTTTCTCCAAAAATTGAATTTAGAACCCACCTCAGAATTTGGAGAAGTTAATTTGCTGAGATGATGCACAGTTGACTTGGGTCTGTCACCCATCACCAGCTTCAGCAGTTACCAACTCTGGCCAATCTTTTTTCATCTGCACTTTGCCCACCCTAATCACTGCTCTACCTTTTAAAGAAAGGGCCGGCCTGCTGGTTCACACCTGTAACACCACTTTGGGAGGTGGAGGGGGATGGATCATGAGGTCAGGAGTCCGAGATCAGCCTGGCCAACATGATGAAACCCTGTCTCTGCTAAAAATGTAAAAATTAGCCAGGCCTGGTGGTGGGTGCTTGTAATCCCAGCTACTCAGGAGGCTGAGGCAGGAGAATCGCTTGAACCCAGGAGGTCGAAGTTACAGTGAGTGGAGATTGTGCATACTGCACTCCAGCCTGGACGATAGAGCAAAACTCCTGTCTCAAAAAAAATGTATTTTTTCTTGAACTCCTGACCTTGTGATCCACCTGCCTCAGCCTCCCAAAGTGCTGGAATTATAGGCGTGAGCCACTGCACCTGGCCCAAAACCCCTGAATTTTAAAGGGAGCATCCCAGAAATTTGTTTTTTCATTTTTATTTTTTATTTTAAGTGATGGGGTTCCACCATGATGGCCAGGCTGGTCTTGAACTCCTGACCTCAGGTGATCCACCCACCTCGGCCTCTCAAAGTGCTAGGATTACAGGTGTGAGCCACCGCGCCCGGCCCTTGGTTTTGTTTTTTGAGATAAGGTCTCACTTTGTCACTCGGCTGGAGTGCAGTGATGCGATCTTGGCTCATTGTAGCCTCGGCCTTCTGAGCTCAAGTGATCCTTCTGCTCCAGAACCCTAAGTGGCAGGGACTACAGGCACCCCCACACCACATCTGGCTAATTTTTGTATATTTTGTAGGGATAGGGTTTCGCCATGTTGCCCAGACTGGTCTCAAACTCCTGAGCTCAAGCCATCTGCCTGCCTTGCCCTCCCAGTGTTGGGATTACAGGCGTGAGCCACATCGCATGGCCCTGAAATGTCATTTTCTCTTTATGTATTTCAGGTGTAAGAGACAAGGAGCTGGCCACAAAATCTACAGTACTATTATTCTGCCTAAAAAATAGGATAATACCTTAATTTTTTTCAAATTAAGTCATATTTAAATGTTCCCAGTTATCTCAGTTGTTTTTGTTTGTTTTAGACATGGGATCTTGCTGTGTTGTCCAGGTTGGCCTTAAACTCAACTGATTTCTCACACTTCAGCCTCTCAGATAGCTGGGACTACAGGTATGAGTCGTCATGCCCAGCTCATTAGTGGTGGTTTTTTTTTTTGACGGAGTCTTACCCCTGTTGCCCAAGCTGGAGTGTAGTTGTGCAATCACAGCTCACTGTAGCCTCATCTTCTCAGGCTCTGGTGATTCTCCCAGAGTAGCTGGAACTACAGGAACACACCAGTGTGCCTGGCTAATATCTGTTAATTTTTATTTATTTTATTTTTTTGAGACTGAGTCTCACCCTGTCACCTTGGGAGTGCAGTGGCATGCTCTTGGCTCACTGCACCCTCCACCTCCTGGGTTCAAGCAATTCTTGTGCCTCAGCTTCCCAAGTAGCTGGGATTATAGGCGCTTGCGACCACACTCAGATAATTTTTGTATTTTTAGTAGAGACAGGCTGGTCTCAAACTCCTGGGCTCTGGTGTTTCTCCTGCCTCAGCCTCCTAACATGCTGGAATTACTGGTGTGAACCGCTGTACCCAGCCTCATTAGTAGTTCTGTTCAAGTCAGGATCCAGATAAATTTTGCACATTGCATTTGATAGAAATAGCTCTTTTATCTCTTAAATTTATACATGCTCCCTCTGTTTTTCGTTTTGTAATTTATCTGTTGAAGCAAATAATGTCTTGTCTTGGAGTTTCCCATATGTCAGCTTTTGCTGATCACCGCTTGTGCTTTATACCTTTTGGCTCTGGTGGCTGGATTTGTGGGTTTGAAGGGGTGTGTGTGTGTGAAGGCAGGGTCTTGCTATGTTTTCCAGGCTGGTCTTGAATTCCTGGGCTCAAGCAATCCTCCTGCCTTGGCCTCCCAAAGTGCTGGGATTACAGGCATGGGCCACTGCACCTGGCCTGAAGGGGTGTCTCTTATTTATCTTTTCAGTGAAGAGGTTGAGAAGGAACTACCATGGCTCATTAAAAATGAGCCTCACGCCGGGCGCGGTGGCTCAAGCCTGTAATCCCAGCACTTTGGGAGGCCGAGGCGGGTGGATCACCAGGTCAAGAGATCGAGACCATCTTGGTCAACATGGTGAAACCCTGTCTCTGCTAAAAATACAAAAAAGTAGCTGGGCATGGTGGCGCATGCCTGTTATCCGAGCTACTCAGGAGGCTGAGGCAGGAGAATTGCCTGAACCCAGGAGACAGAGGTTGCAGTGAGCCGAGATTGTGCCATTGCACTCCAGCCTGGGTAACAAGAGGGAAACTCCGTCTAAAAAAAAAAAAAAAAAAAAAAAATGAGCCTCACTCCACTCTGAGTGCAGCGGTGGCAGTAGTGGG